TAATAAAATCTTGGGCAAATAATAAAATCCCGCATGCAAAGTGTAAACTTTAACAGCTTAGCACAGTTACATGTTTTCATGATTGGATCCTCCAGCGAAATGTAATCTCCTAACTGCTGACTGCAATGTGGCGCCTTGATCAACTCCAAGTAACAAACTCGTATATCCTCCTTGTATATATGGGGCAGACATGGTAGAAGAATTCCCAATCATATTAAAGTGTGGCATTGTCGCATTACCATATCCACCTTGGATCAACGGAGCAGACACAATAGAAGAATTAAGATCCTGTGTCATATTAAATGTGCGTATAAGTAAATAAATTGTGAAAAGGGTATAATTAGTCTCAATCATGTCTTACAGCTAATTGCTTTGGATCAGCACCTCCATCTCCATTTTCTGCAGCAGTATTTGGATGCTCTCCTGCAGATGACAAAACATGAACATAAAAATTTATTATAGAAGCAACCATCGGGGAAGAAAAAACATCTTGAATTTGTAGGATCACTACCTTTCTTCTTAGCACTTTTCTTCTTTGACTTCACTTTGTCTTTTTTTTCAACCACATTTTTGAACCGTGTATTCTTTGAGCCTTTTACCACCGAGGAACTCTAAAAGATATTACACCATTCAATGAGCTTGTGTCACATTCATTCGAAATTAGATGAACCTCATTTGATTCTTCTTGCATCTTGCTAAGAGAAGTATCTCGCTGTCGGTCCAACTTCTCTATGGCTTTCTCGAAATCATCAAGAAGCTCTCTTGACACCGAACACTTCAATGCAATAGTTGTAGCTTTTAGAGATAAGTGCAGTGCACGTGCTTTCAAATCTTCCTCCTCACTTCCTTGTTTGTCGATATAAAATCCCCTTTTGGCATATTTTGTCCATCTGTTTAGAATATATTGCGATGGCAAACTATACACTTCATTTATATTGAAGACTCTAAGGGCATGCTTGCACAATATACCTATAGGACATGGATACCATTTTCAGTAAATTGTATAAAAAAATTATATTACAAATTGAAATGCATATACGTACCTATGGCTTCAAACTTTCTGCAAGAACATGTAATGGTAGAATCTTCACTGTTGAACACGACTGTTGCTCCACGAACGGATTGCATGTATGTGACAAAGAATGTCAAGTTGGTCCCTTTAGTTTGTAGCAATTTTTGAGACAATGATAATTGTTTTTTAAATTCATCCTCAAACTCAGAATACATCCTTCTTGTGTATGATTCCGCTGCGGTCTTCAGCATAGGTAAATCTGTGGTGTAAGTAACCGCGTCCTTTCGGCGTGAATTAAAGTCTTCATCCAACTCGTTTTCACGAAGACTAAGTAAAACCTTCTCACATTCTACAAGGAGTTCCGAAAGACCGAGTTTCCTACGAAATCTTTTCTTAAAGACATTGTTCATGCCTTCACTCCTTTGAGTCGAGGTCATATCCATTGTAAAAAGCATCACGGTACATACAGTGCCCACTTTGCCCTCAAATAATATAGGTTTCTCATCCAAGAGTTATCCTCTAGTTTATATTCAGATAACAACTCATTCCACTTCTCAATGAAGTAAGCCTCCGATCTATCTTCATACACACATCTCTTAAAATCAGTAAGAAACTTGTTATCTGATTTCTGAATTACATGCCCGAGATGTTTAGCAGCATTTAAGTAAATGTGCCACAAACAAAGACGATGGCTTGTATTTGGGAATACATAAGCAATTGCTCCAAATGCCATGGCAGCGTCTTGATCGAAGAAAATTGTCCTTGGATGCTTGCCCGACATTGCTTTTAGGAAGGTTTCAAAGAGCCAAACAAATGATTCAATAGTTTCATTAAATATCAATGTAGCCCCAAAGATTATCGTGCGCTTGTGATGGTTTGTTCCAAGGATTGGAGCAAAAGGCATCTCAAACTTATTAGTCTCAAAACGTAGTGTCAAATGACACAACATCACCAAAGCATTTGTAGTCCATAATAGACCCACCATCCGCCCGAAAAATTTGCTATCCGACCATCTGTCTTATCTACCGAACGGCATAAAAAATGTAGGATCCTCAGAATCGCTTGTTTCTCGGTTTGACGGTGTCATACATCATTGGCTTCTAAGTACTTTCTGCGCTCGCGTCCAATCTCATTATTGCAATCCATTTTTACGAATGGCACTTTGTCGGCTCCTCCATAAAATCGCTTCATGAACTCATACACACGGGCCGGGCTTCATCCCGGCTTCTCGTGTCGGCCAATTAGCATCCTGTCTCGCTTCAAAGACACGCCGTTGGGGATCTCAACTTATGCAACTTATTTGGACTAGCAAGATAATGATTATGTTCGATTACAATCTTTTGCACCGTCCAAATCCCTCTCTCTCACGACACTAAATCGAACACGAGCATCACAACCCGTCCTTGTAGTGTCTTTTGATGACTCGGTTTGCCGATGCCCTTGGCTACTGCAAACTATATATTTCTGAGATATAGTACCATCCACTCGACGCTTTGTATTGCTCTTTCTAATACTGAACCCAACTTTACGGGCATATGTGTTATACATCTCAAAGGCTTCTTCCTCTCGATTCAAAATTCATTCCAACTTCGAGGAGTGATCCCAACTTTATCTCCACCGTTGTAAAATGAGATGATGATTAATTATTCACCATGTTATGCATGATCGTACCAAAATAGATGAGTAACATGCGACGTTTACGCATTATCGTATAAATGAACATGCAATGACCCTACCTGTGATGGCTTCTCTCTGTCGACTCCATGACCACCATCGGCGATTGCATCATCCTCATGCGCATCTCGAGATTGCTCTTTGTGAGCTCAGATCATCTAAAGAATCCGCCGGAGACGTACTTGCTGTGATGAGTAATAGGAAGTTCTTGGAGACGTACAAGAAGGATCCATGGGAGAAGAGTCGACGCAGAAGAATCCATCTAAGAAGAGGTCGATGATTGCAAAGATTGCAAAAGATGAATTGCACAATGTCGATGATTGCAAAGATGAATATTTTTTAACCCTAATGAGTCGGCGTGTTCGAACCTCGGCGGCGACGTCCGAGCAGCGATGGAGGAGGTGGCGCCGGGCCGATGGAGGAGGAGGCGGCGGCGACGGCGTGTTCGACCCTCGATGGCGGCTGGTCCGCCGGGCTAGATGGAATAGGCGGCGGCGGCGGCGGTAGTGCGTTGCCGTAACCCAAACCCTCGGCGCGCCTATTCCAATTCCACCCTCGCGATGCATGCATGTACCATACCGCCGAGCCATGCACGCGTTGCCGCTACTGCTGAGCCATGCATGCAGATGCGCGACGAGCCAGGCAGGAAAGCGAGCCGAAGCGCTAGGAGCTTCCCAGACGCGTGACCGTCAGATTTCCTGCGCCTCCACGCGTCGACCGGGCGGAAGGGTGGGCACCGGATGCGCTTTGCATCCGGGCAGCACCAAATTTTGTTCCACCTTGGCACGGGTGGTGAGCCAGGGACCAGGGTTCGTTTGACATCGCTCCTCGTGGCTCCAGCTCCTTGCGTCTAGGCGCTATAGCGCACTGTTCACATATAGAGTTGAAGCAGCGCGGAGTCCCTCTAAAAGATCTTAACTAATTTGAGTTTGTAAAAAGAAACCTAGATTATACGGACCTTGAGGCAGCCTAGCTGAGGATCCAAACGCTGGTGCAACTTTGATTTATTTGCTTGCTAGGTGAGACAGGCCTGCCAAAGATCCAAACATGTTCAACAAAGGCTAGAAGAGTTGCAACATACATATAGAGGTAGACTAGAAAAAATAGAACAACTACTCATGAATGATCGACGCATGATCTACTAGACCATTTGATCTTTGATGAGTCAAGCCACCTCACGTCTCAATTTTTCTGTACTTCTCATATATTTTAGGAAACCAGCTAATAGCAAATTGTTAGCTGGATGGTAGGTAAGACTAGCGAAGATCCAAACAGATATTAGCTAAACTTTAACAGCTAACTATTAGTTATGGGTTTAAATAGATTTTTAATAATGTGAGCCATTTCCATTGTGCCCGGTTTATATTTCTTTGTGATGTGAATGTGATGCATTGCCACTTCTCGAAGCGGTGGTTTTTGTTTTCTTGTCAAGTAAGGCGGCCGGAGGAGCTCCAAGTTCAACGCATTAGGCCGGGAAATGGACCGCGTGCCGTAGAACGCTACTACAAGTCAAACCGTGTCGCCATACTTTTTTTTAGGTTTTTTTATCGATGTCACTATAATTTTTCAAATTGGAGATATGTCATTACAATTCGTCTATTTTGAGAACTGTTATTATAATTCTTCCTCTCCCTCGTCCATGCCATTTTCTACGCCTCCTATGTACATACCTACGGGAACACGAACGGACGTCGCCTGCTCCGTTAGCACGAGGCGTAGCGGCGGCGCTTGCCCACGGCGGCCTGCGCGCGAGCGGAGCAGTGGCGAGTGCGACGAGCGCCCACGGCAGACAGCGCGCGAGCGGAGAGCACGACGAGCACCCTGTTAGTGTAAACCTGTCAATGTCAACATGGAACACTTGTGCAATGAGCTGGTGACGTGGAGCAGGCCGAAAAGTTCAAGTTTGAATCAAGCCTTGGCGAGCGGCAACAGCGGTGAGCGGTGACCGCGCCCACGACTCAGTGGTTGTCTGCAATGTGTGTTTCGCTGACTTGTATCGTGTGTAGCAGTTGCTTTTCTTTAGAAATCATGTGCGTTTGCTACTATGTTAAGTAGCCTGATGTAAGAGGACTGATGGTTCTCTCCACTATCTAGTATCCGTCTGTGTACTCGTGGTGAATGAGAGCGAAAAGGGGCGCTGTCACCCTGTTGCCCTGGTGGCGGTTGCCATGTGTTCTTGTTGTTCTTGCACTTGATCTTGTTTTTGCTCGATTGTTTAGGCTAGCCACTGCTATACTCGTGTGTTTGTGATTGATCTTGGCCAACATTTGGTATCAGAGCCGATCACATACTCGAGATCCACCGAGAGCTCATCATGTCGCTGACGGTTGCTGATGGGGGTCGGGGAAGCGGCGACGGCAGGCACCGGCAGGTGTTCCCGACGCTGACGACGACCAATTACACCAGCTGGAGTATCCGGGTGCAGGCGATCATGGAGGAGCAGGGGTGGTGGGATGTAGTGGAGCCGCCGGAGGGAAATTCGGCGGTGGGAGCCATGACGGAGGCGCTGGCTGGGAAGGACAAGAAGGTGCGGGCGCATTTTTTCCAGTGCCTGTCGGACGAGCTGTTGATGCAAGTGGCGAAGAAGAAGACAGGGAAGGAAGTTTGGGACTCTCTGAAGGCAAGATTTGTGGGCGCGGAACGCGTCAAGGACGCGCGCCTGCAAACTTTGAAGGCTGAATTTGATGCGCTGAAGATGAAGGAGGAGGAGACTGTTGATGAGTTCACCGGGAAGCTGACGGCGATGTCGGTCAAGTACGGCAATTTAGGCGGGACATTGGAGGATGCGGCGATGGTGAAGAAGTTGTTCGACACCGTGCCAGACAAGTTCATCCATGTCATAGCCGGGATTGAACAGTTCTATAACCTCCAGACTTTGGTGTTCGACGAAGCTGTTGGTCGACTCAAGGCGTTCGAGGAGCGAACCACTAGGCGGGGAGTCGGTGGAAGTCGCTCTGCCGACGGGCAGGTGCTGCTCACTCAGGCGGAGTGGGAGGCGCGCCAGAAGAAGTCAGGAGGAGGCGAGAGCTCTGGTGGCGGGAAGTCTCAGGGCGGTGGTGGCCGTGGCCGTGGGTGTGGTCGTGGTGGAAGCCGGGGTGGCCGTGGTGGGCGCGGTGAAGCTGGAAGGGAGAACACTGTTCGTGACAAAAGTCACATCAAGTGTTTCAAGTGCCAGACATATGGGCACTACGCAAATCGTTGCCCCGGTGAGAAGAAGAAGGACGAGGAGGCACACCATGTGAGAAAAGTGGAGATGGAGCCGGTGGTGTTGCTCGCGGAAACAGTGGAACTAGGACCATTTGAGCCAGCATCAAACACGAGTCTTCATACAGAGATGATACTCGAAGAGAAGAAGGTGATGCCCGAGCTGTTCTTCGTTGGCGAGGGAGAGGTCAGAGATGATGTCTGGTACCTGGATAATGGTGCCAGCAATCACATGACCGGGGATCGTCAGAAGTTCAGAGAATTGGATCAAACCTCTACTGGAAAGGTACGGTTTGGTGATGGTTCATCAGTAGAGATTGAGGGAAAGGGGTCTATTCTGTTTCAAGGTAGAACAGGTGATCAGTGGGTGCTTAGAGATGTTTATTACATTCCTAAGTTGAAGAGCAATTTGATTAGTTTAGGTCAACTAACTAAAATTGGGCACCAAGTAGTAATGGATGATGATGTACTTGAGGTGTCAGAGAAAAACCCAAGAAGACTGATCATGAAAGTTCAGAGAACAGGAAACAGATTGTATAAGATTGAGTTAGTGTCAGTAGAACCAACCTGTTTGTTGAGTCATGCTAGTGAGAATGCTTGGTTGTGGCATGGTCGGCTAGGTCATGTAAATTTTCATGCATTGAAGCAACTAGTTGACAAGGAGATGGTTGGGGGAGTACCACTAATTCAACATCCAGATCAGATCTGTCAGTCTTGTCTGACAGCAAAACAAGCAAGAAAGCCTTTTCCTAGGTCAGTGTTGTGGAGAGCAAATGAACCATTGCAGCTTGTACATGTTGACTTGTGTGGGCCCATTACTCCATCCACATTAGCAGATAACAAGTATTTCATGCTTTTGGTGGATGACTGCACTAGATGGACAATAGTGTACATTCTAAAGTCAAAAGACCAGGCAGTAGATGCATTCATCAAGTTCAGAGCTGAGGTTGAGAAGAGCTATGGTTATGAGATCAAGATTCTTAGATCAGATAGAGGTGGAGAGTTTCTGTCAAAATCCTTTCAGAGTGTGTGTGAGCAGGGTGGGATCAAGCATCAGTTTACAGCTCCCTACACTCCACAGCAAAATGGAGTGGTTGAGAGGAAGAATAGATCAGTAATGGAAATGGCAAGATCCCTATTGAAGAGCATGGAGATCCCTGGAATTTTTTGGGCAGAGGCAGTAAGACATTCAGTCTATCTGTTGAACAGACTGCCAACTAAGTCCATGGGGTACAGAACACCATATGAAGGATGGAATGGAAGAAAACCTCATCTGGGGCATTTGAGAATTTTTGGTTGCAAGGGACATGTGAAGATTGTGGGAACACATCTGAAGAAACTTGATGACAGAAGTGTGTCAATGGTCTACTTTGGGATAAAAGAAGGCAGCAAAGCTCACAGGATGTACAATCCAAAAACCAACAAGATTGTGGTTAGCAGGGATGTTGTGTTTGAGGAATCTCTCAAGTGGAGCTGGGAGTCTGCAGACAATTTCAGTTTTGCTGAAAACAGAGATGAGAAGGATGGTCAATTCTACTCTGGTGATTATGGGAGTCTTGATAGTGGTGTTGGTGACGCACAAGGTGCTCAAGGTGTCAATGAGACAGGGGGAGCAACTAGTGGTGGAGAGCAATCAACTGGAGGCATGAATGCAGAAATGGGATATTATGATGTTCAGACTGAACAAAATCCGACAATAGGATCAGAACCAGCTACTCCGCAGAGTTCACCACATCTGTCAGTCACTGGTCATGACAGTATGGATGTAGATGACACCATAGACACTGACAGTGGACCAATCAGATTCAGAAGCTTGAATGAAGTATATGATGACTCATATGAAGTAGAGCTGATGGATGAGAATGTGGAAGCACTGCTAGTGGAAATGGAGGAACCAACATGTTTCAGGGATGCTGCTGACAGTCAAGACTGGGTTGATGCAATGGACAGAGAAATGCAGTCCATTCAGAAGAATAAGACATGGGAGCTGGTTAAGCTACCTGCTGGAAAGAAGCCCATTGGTTTGAAATGGGTGTTTAAACTGAAAAGGAATTCAGAGGGGGATGTGGTAAAACATAAAGCAAGGTTAGTTGCAAAAGGATATGTGCAAAAGCATGGAGTTGACTATGAAGAAGTCTTTGCTCCCATGGCCAGATTGGACACAGTGAGGGTGTTTCTAGCACTAGCAGCTAATCAAGGTTGGAAAGTTCATCATCTTGATGTGAAGTCAGCTTTTCTACATGGTGAGTTGGAGGAAGAAGTCTATGTTTCACAGCCAGAAGGGTATGTTGTGAAAGGGAAAGAGCAGTGTGTACTCAAATTAAGTAAAGCTCTGTATGGACTTAAACAAGCACCAAGGGCTTGGAATGTCAGATTAGACAAGAGCCTGAGAAAACTAAACTTCAGAAGATGTATGAGTGAACAAGCAGTTTATACAAGAGGGCATGGGAAAAATGCAGTACTCTTGGGAGTTTATGTTGATGACTTGATAATTACAGGAGGAAATCCAGAGAGTGTCAAGTTGTTCAAGCAACAGATGAAGAGTGAATTTGAGATGACAGACCTTGGTCTCCTTTCTTACTATCTTGGTATTGAGGTGGATCAGAAAGAGGATCATATCACTATAAAACAGTCTACTTATGCTAGAAAGGTTTTGGGGCAATTTGGGATGGCAGAATGCAATTCAAGCAAGTGTCCAATGGAGCCTAGAAACAAACTGAATGAAGACAAGGGAGGAAAGCTAGTTGATGCAACAGAATACAGGAAGATGATTGGTTGTCTCAGGTATCTGTTACATACAAGACCAGACCTGTCATATTCAGTGGGTCTAGCTAGTAGATTCATGGAGAAGCCAACAGTGATTCATGCTGGGGCAGTAAAGCAGATCATGAGGTACCTGAAGGGCACTACTGAGTATGGACTGGTGTATGTTCAAGGTGGTGGTACAGGAGTGTTGGTGGGTTACACTGACAGTGATCATGGAGCTGATCAAGTTGAAAGAACAAGTACTGGTGGGATGGCTTTTTACTTGGGAGAAATTTTGGTTAGCTGGTGTTCCCAGAAGCAGAAGACAGTGGCTCTGTCATCTTGTGAAGCAGAGTTTATGGCCGCTACTTCAGCAGCAAGGCAAGCTCTGTGGTTAAGAAATCTGTTGAGTGAAATCACCGAAGAAAGGCCTAGTGCAAGAACTCTTTATGTAGACAATAACTCTGCTAGAGCTCGATGAACAATCCTGTGTTTCATGGAAGAAGTAAACACATTGATATCAAGTATCACTTCATCGAGCAAAGGTGTGTGGAGAGAGTCAAATTACAAAGTGAAGAGGGTTAGCAATCGATGAGCGTAAAGCCGATGCATTGACCAAGGCATTGCCGATGGGCAAAACCGGTGGTGATGAGGCACTTGTTGGGTGTCGGGGACCTTGACGCTCATTGCTTGACAGTTTAAGGGGAGAATGTTAGTGTAAACCTATCAATGTCAACGTGGAACACTTGTGCAATGAGTCGGTGACGTGGAGCAGCCGAAAGTTCAAGTTTGAATCAAGCCTTGGCGAAAGCGAGAACAATGGGTGAGCGGTGACCGCGCCCACGACTCAATGGTTTATGCGCAATGTGTGTTTCACCGTGACTTGTATCGTGTGTAGCAGCTTGCTTTTCTTTAGAAATCGTGTGCGTTTGCTACTATGTTAAGTAGCTTTGATGTAAGAGGACCGATGGTTCTCTCCACTATCTAGTATCTGTCTGTACTACTGGTGAACGAGAGCGAAAAGGCGCCACACCACCTGTTGCCACTGGGCGGCGGTTGCCATGTGTTCTTGCCTTTGTTCTTGCACTTGATCTTGTTTTTGCTCGATTGTTTAGGCTAGCCACCGCTATACTCGTGTGTTTGTGATTGATCTTGGCCAACACACCCGTGGTGGCATCTACGATGCGTACCGTCGTCCGTCACCACCAGGACAGAAGAGCGCTGCCAGCGACAAATAAGCGCGCGCGCGCGCCGGGCGGGTATAGCGCCCTAAGCGTGTCCACCCCGCGCGTCTTTGGCTCGCGCTGCGGCGCCAGGAGGAGCGCCACCAGACGCCCACGCCGTGCGGTGCGCCTTCTCCCCACAGTGGAGAGCACACAGCGTCGCCGGACCGCAGCGTGGACGTCGGCGCGTCCGAAGACGCCAGCGCCGACGCCACTTGGACCCGCGCCGAGATGGAGATCTTGAGGTCGTCGGGCGCCTCGTGGCGGCATCCCGGAGCGCGAGTGCAAAGGGGACGCCGAGCGGTGCCACGCTTCGCCGCCGCGTGTCGCTGTTGCCCCGCACTTGTGCTCGCGCGGGCGATGGCCGCCCCCTTGTGCTAGGCGGCCGCGGCAGCACGCGCGTGCCACTTCCACCCTACCGCCCACACACACCGCTCGCCGGCCACTTGCTGCTCCCTCACATGTAACCGTGGCGGCTCCTTGCATCCTTTGTTGCGGCCGTAGGCACGGCACTCATCGTTGCTCCGCGCTGGCCGGCAAAGTAGCAAACATATCTTGCAGTATGGTGATTTGGTCGCCGCCGACGGCTCGCGCTTCGAGGCATATGCTCCTTGCCGCTTCTTCCTCCTCGCGGTGGCTACGACCGTGACCGCGCGGGCCGGTGCCCAACTACTACAAAGAAGACGTGGTCGAAGCGGAAGCGATCCGTCTGGATGTGGTGTCGCAGGCGCTTGTCGCGACAACCACCACCGCCGCGGCGTGCTCGTGTCTTCTTCCACGATCGCTTGCTGTCCACGGGTAGGCGACGCTGTCGGCCCCCAAAGACGGCTTCGAGGCGAAGTCGCCCCGGGACGCCGAGAGCCATCGCGACCTCAAGATTTGGCCGCTGAGCTCGAGCGCCCAAATACATATCTCTGCAAGCGACGTTTGGCCCTCGCCAAGCGCTCTCACGCCTCGCGTGCTTCGCCGCCGCTCATTACAGGTGCGTCAGCCGCGGCGAAGCGGCGCCCGCTCATACACGCCATGGCCTTGCTGGCCGCACGCGGCGGGCTTAATCTAACGGAGGAGGCGAGTCCGTATGTGTGTCGTGTGCGTAATGCGTGTGCGTGTGCGTGTCGACAGATGGGTTATGTATGCTAAGGCGTTGAAAATAGCATAGATAAGAGATATATAATTATAATAACATATCTCTAAATAGACGAATTATAACGATATATGTCCATGCTCCCCCGTATACTCACCCTCTCTCTCTAGCTGTTCACTCGACCGACGACCATCTTCTTCACCCATCCACCTGATTCCAGAGCTGCAGCCGGTCGTCACCTTCGCCCTCGTCCTCGCCTCCTTCCCCATTTCCATTTTCCCACACCTCCGCAATAACTCCCCCACGCCTAACTGAATTAATCCGCCGAACACCGAGTGAGCCACGCCACCAGCCCAGCACACACCCGCACCGAGCGAGGAAGGAAGGCAAGCGCCCAAGAAAACGCCGCAGCAGCAGCCACCACCACCACCAACCCCTTCCTCCCTTTCCCTTTCCCTCTCCGTCGCCCGCCCGCCTCTCCTACAAGAACCCCCACCCCGACCGCCGATAGCTACCTAGCTCCCACCCCGCTCGCCCCTCGACTCCGCCTTTTCCATTCTTCCCGGCCTTCGCCGGAGATCCAAGAACCTAGGGGGGAGCCAGCCAGGGGAACGAGCGGCGATGGGAGGAAGGGGCGCGACGCTCGCCTTGTTGGCGGTGGTGGTTCTTGCGGCGGTCGGCGGCGCTGGCGCCGAGGCGGAATCGAGCGAGGCGTCGGCCAAGGGGAGGTACCACGCGCTCTTCAACTTTGGGGACTCGCTAGCCGACGCTGGCAACCTCATCCAGAACGGCACACCGGAGATCCTGGCCACCGCGCGCCTGCCCTACGGCCAGACCTACTTCGGGAAGCCCACCGGCCGCTGCTCCGACGGACGCCTCGTCATCGACCACCTCGGTACGGCCTCTCTCGCATTCGTCGGGGGTTGCTTCGGCTTCGTTGTTTGTTCCCAGATTTGTGTGTGCCTGACCGGTTTCCTGGGTTTCCCTTGCCTGCAGCGCAAGAGTTCGGCCTGCCGCTGCTACCGCCGTCCAAGGCCAAGAACGCCAGCTTCGCGCACGGCGCCAACTTCGCCATCACCGGCGCCACCGCGCTCGACACGCCCTACTTCGAGGCCAAGGGGCTCGGTGCCGTCATCTGGAACTCCGGAGCGCTCATGACCCAAATCCAGTGGTTCCGTGATCTCAAGCCTTTCTTCTGCAACACCACGGAGGGTGAGATTCCCACCTTCTCTAGCTTAATTAGCTGAACCACTAGTGCTGCATTATTATATTAGAAAATTGGGAGATTACCGGTAAAACTTATTACAATTGACTTCTTTTCCTTTTGCAGCATGCAAGAAATTCTTTGCCAAGGCGCTGTTTGTGGTCGGTGAGTTTGGCGGCAACGACTACAATGCGCCCCTCTTTGCGGGCATGGGCATCCCAGGGGCCTACAAATTCATGCCGGATGTCATCCAGGGCATCTCTGACGGTATTGAGGTAGGGGTTTTCCCCCTTCCTTTTATTGTGTATTGTAGAAGGGTAGTCGTCATGGGATGTGTTTCCAACTGCAAATGTTTGTACATGGTGCAGGCACTGATTGCTGAGGGGGCTGTGGAGATGATTGTGCCTGGTGTCATGCCCACCGGCTGCTTCCCAGTGTACTTGAACATGCTTGATGTGTCCGAAGAGGGAAAGGGCTCCCGCAGTGGGTGTGTCCGCCAGTACAACACATTCTCCTGGGTGCACAATGCACATCTCAAGGCCATGCTTGAGAAGCTCCGGGCTAAGCACCCCAATGTGAGGATCATATATGGCGATTACTACACTCCAGTTATCCAGTTCATGCTTCAGCCTGAGAAGTTTGGTGAGTTCTTACATTCTTGATCTCTTTTATGTGATAACTTTTGCTTAGATGCTTAGATGTTGAGTCAACCGCTACTCGGAATCAACACTGTTCTTGAAAGACACAACATATTATAACTAGATGGTTTAGATCTCGGTGGAGATGCCTTAATCTTCTCTACTAGCGCATCGCAGAATATACAAATCATGTTTTGAATGGCGCGTACAAAATTTATGATTTCAAAATCAGTTGGGCTAGCTTAATGGTCAGAGTATGTTCAAAGCAAAGGTGCTTACCCTTGCTCATTTGGAACCTGCTATCCAGTCTGGAAAGGCTCTTTTAGCTATCACTGCTATTAGTACAGTTCATTTGAGTGCTCCCCGTTAATAGTTGTCTGCTTGAGAGGAGGCCTTTCCATTGAAAATGAGATTCCATTAGAATGGATCACTTGGAGCTAACATTAGAATGGTTTGATTCCCTTCACTCTCAATCTAATGATGTATTAGGACTTAACTATAATAGTTCTGTTAATAGGTTAAAATTCGAGGTCAGGGCTATAGTAATCCTTTTTCCCATGATAGTTTTATCACCGATCCTTCTATGGCATTGTATTTTGAGCTGAACTAGCTACTAGAATGACCTGCATACCTAATTTAAAAATCTATCAACAGTCGACACATTATTTTTTGGGAAACAATCTCCCTTTACTTAACATGTTGTTAAGATGGACATTTCATGACGTCAAAAGTGTATATGCACTGTTGTGATTAAATAGAATAATCAGCGCTTTGCTACCCAACCTTCTTACTTTTGCTGCTCCACTTTCTAAGCATTGCTGAATCAAAAATTCAACAAGTCCTTGTTGTGACAAGTACAAACATCTAGGAATTGCTCAGTTAGCTGAACCATCGTTTTGGGGATCACTTTTGTTTCTACCTACTACTTTCTTTCCTTGCTGACCATAATGTTTTTTAATAGAAAAAATAAAATAACAGGAAAAGGCGTATAACAACCATCTGCATCTAGAGTGATGCCATGTCTTTGTCATCTCTAGATCCCATGTACCTGATTTCTAGAATTTCCATCGCATCGTTGCCCTGTAGTAGCAAGTAATCTGTACTTTATTTGGCTTGAATTTGCTGATGGCGACAGTTTTCCTGTCTCAACTGCTAGAGAAAAGGTAGGCAGATATTATTGTCGATTAAAACAGAAGGCACCTTTGCTTCAGTCATTAGGCCTTTGATTTTAGTGCACGTCTATGCAGGGACCTAACAACTTGTGTTTTCTCATTCAGGTTTTGCCAAACAACTGCCTAGGGCATGTTGTGGGGCTCCATCGACTCCTGAGAGAGCAGCTTACAACTTCAATGTCACGGCCAAATGTGGCGAGCCTGGTGCAACTGCCTGTCCTGATCCGACAACCCATTGGAGCTGGGATGGCATTCACCTGACGGAAGCTGCTTACCGCCATATCGCCAAAGGCTGGTTATATGGGCCTTTCGCGGACCAACCAATCATCCAATCCTCATGATCACACCAAAGTAGCGCGCTGAAAGAAATGGAGCGGGGAAAGTAGTTCTTCCGTACAGTTCCAATGTTTGCATACATGTACATCTCCATTTGATTGTATTCATTTGCCATTGGGGGTACAAAGGTGGGATAGGAGGCTGCACAAAGGCCTGATTTTCTTGATTTGTCAGGGGGTATAAATATGAAAAATGTAACGCACAGATAATCGTGTATATTGTCCCGGAAATGTGATACATACTGTCTGCTTGAGCAGCTTCTGATTCTCTGATTAAAGATGTGCCAGTTTTGTGATTCTTATACTTCGGCTTTTGTCTGAACATGGTGTGCATCGTTGTTCAGACTTCAGAGATGGATGAGCTGTGTGTGAAATCATATGAAAACACACATGTAAGTCCGGTTTGTAGCTGTAATAAACAATTAGAAATTTACAGGGACAATTGTCTGTTGGACATCAAAGTGATGGTCCTTTGCTGACGGACATCTACTTTGGTGCATTTTGTCAGAAGACACTCTGGTTCGGTGAAATTAGGCCACAAGACACCGCGGTCCGGTTGCAGCCGGTTGAGGAGAGAACTTTATTTTGGACATCCGGTGCCCCTGAACTATACTTGGGTCCGCCTCCAACCTGTCGAGCAGAGGCAGCTGCACCTAGTCGAATAGATGGCGACGACGGGAGGAGGCACAGAGGCGTTGCATAGGCCCATGTGCTGCTGCCGGGAAAGAGGGAAGGGGGCGCCACCGTCGTTCCATGCCTCGATTCGCCGCCGCTAGGTAAAGAGAAGGGCTCGCCGCCGCCCGGTAGTGGACGCCGTTGACGTCGCCGCTGCCAGGTCGGGACTGGACACCGCCGTCGCCGAGAGGGGTGGATGACGGGGAAGGAGGAGAAGCCGCTACCGCTGTGGGCTGCCATCGCCGCTGTTGGGAAGGAAGCCACCTTGCCGGAGATGACAGGGAAGGGAGCCCGTGCACGCGGGTCGAGCCGCACAGCCTCCCTTCCGCAGTGATGGCCCTTGGCGGCACAGGATCCGGCTCCGGCGAGGCCGGCTCCGCCGCTGGCACCGGTGAAGGAGGTGGATCTGCCATGGTGCGCTGTCGTCGAGGTCGCCATGGGGCACTGCCGCCCCCAGGTGGCCATGGTGGGCCGCCGGCCCCGAGGTGGACAGGGAGGCGGGCCACGTCGCCGCCGGGAAGCCCCGTCCGCGCCGCCGGTGAGGGAGGCGCCGCCACTAGTACTACTCTGTCTGAGAGATGCGGATGGGAGGAAATGAGTGGGGGGAGAAAAAATAAAAAAAAAGAGGTTGTGGCTATTTATAGATGGAACAAATTAATACAAGAATCTCTAATCGTGCGCACCATGGCAGCCGCGGTGGCCCGCAACATGGTGGCCACGCTCGTCCTCACCCCGGCGGCGGCGCCTGCTCGAGCGCGCCCCGGCGGCCGCAGTGGCCCGTGCCCTGGCCACCGCATTCACCAACGCCCCGGCGGCCCCGCCTGCTCGAGTGCGCCCCCACAGCCCCACCATGGACTGGAAACAAAATAAGAAGAGAAAGGGAGAGAGGAAGAAGAAAGCGGCAAGGGTAAGAATGCCATTTCACCGCTGTTCTCTCTCCTCAACCGGCTACAACCGATCCACGGTGTCATGTGGCCTAATTTCACCGAACTAGATGTCTTCTGGTAAAATGCTCTAAAGTAGATATCCGTCGACAAAAGACCATCACTTTGGATGTACGTTCATACAGTTGTCCCAAATTTATAATACTGCCGGCAACTATCTTTGTAGCGAACATGGCTTGGCTCTGGCTAGGAGAAGAATCTGCAATATAAAATTGGCAGTGATCTGAACGGAAGGATTTGAGAACAGTGCATGCAGGTGGGAGTTGAGTTGAAACCAATGAACTAGAGCTGATCTGTTGTGCTAGTAGTTAAGAGTTGTTTATCCCACTGCCATGTGGGTTAGCAGACCACGAGCACTATTTTCGCTTAACAAGTGATCCTAGACCCTAGCTACTCGTTTTCAAGTGTGAGTTAGAGATTTCTTGGGTACTTACAACCAACAAAATCCGTTCGAACTACGGTGACAATGCAAGCCCTCTTCATTTCGCTGAAATCTGATGCTTACGTTGATTTGTTATGAGAAAAAAACACTATTTGTTCGCTGCTGCTGAAGTGATGCTACAGAACATGGTGAAGAGATGGAGAGTAAGTAGTCTGCATTCATAAACCCTAGATGCTTGAACAATATATTTGTTCCGTTCACATATTTAGACAGTTAAATATAGAGTAAATATTGTACAAATATACGGAGGTTGTAGTAATTAGGAAGCAAGCAGAGTCAGTTGCCCTACATTTGATGTTAGTGTTTGTACTTCTCAATCAAAACAAGAGATCCGTTTTTAACCCATACTCTGCAATTTTTTTTAGTACAACGTCAACAACACGCACGCACACTCACCTCCTATGAATACACATATTACATGTATGTAAACATTTTCACACACATACGCAAACCCTACCCCTATGAGCACCTTTGAAGAACTGAACCGGCCGATTACGAGATTCACGGTCTGGAATAAATTAAGAAAAATACGAGCACCCGTAACAAGTCGAGTACTTGAACCCGGGTGGACAGGTTTAGATCTACGATCAATTCGCTGTTTCACAACTTTTAGCATTGCCTTTGTAAACAAAAGTTTTAATATAAAATACTGTAAATCATACTTTTAATATGGTTGGGCTCTGTTAAGTCGTTCAACAGTTCTTGCGCAAAAAAAAAAAGGTCGTTCAACAGTTCATCAACGATCTGTCCAACATGTTGTAAAAAGAATCGATCCGTCCAACAGAGCTCAACGTGCAGTATATCCAGTTGCAATTTGCAAGAGGCCCGTATCACCGGCAACAATGGTCAGGCTCTGCACACTGGGGTTTGGACTTTGGCCTGGCAAGGCGTAGAACATTGTCACATGGGCCCGTACGTCTTCTCTCTAATAGCATGGGTTGGAGGAAAACGATAGTGTACTATCGTAAATTTTCAGTCGGAATAGTATTTTTCTCTCATATAAATCAGACAATAGTATTTTTTTTATGAACCAGCAACGATATGAACCAGCGAACCGAACAGGCTGTTATAAGTTCAAAATGCACGCTACGTCCTCTCAGAAAAAACTAAAACTAATCTTATGGTCACTAGAACGCCGACACTGTCTAGAGATGTGTGCCGGTTGCTGCAACGAGATGATCCAACAAAAAAAAGAAGTAATATTGATATCAAAGAGAAGATTCGCTGCAACCAGATGCAAATATTTTGACTTTGATCGAGGCACCCGCGTGCTACGTACAGGACGTACAGGCCATGAGTCAAACTACAGAGTCCAATTTTCTTTCGTTTGGGGATGGGGTGGGGATAAGGTCAGGATCTGAGGCCTTGTCTAATTGGCTAAATTTTGGAAATTGGGTTACGGTAGCATTTTCGTTTATATATTGACAATTAGTGTTCAATCATGGATTAATTAGACTCAAAACGTTCGTCTCGTAATTTCCAACCAAACTGTGCAATTAGTTTTTTTCGTCTACATTTAATGCTCTATGCACATATCGCAAGATTCAATATGATGGCTACTGTAGCACTTTTTGGGAAAAGTTTTTGAAACTAAACAAGGCCTGAGAATGGTTTGCGTATGGTATGACATTTATTTTAGACAAACTCAGAGTTTTGATTAAGAATTAATATTTTTCATTCCGCCAGTCTCAACAGGGTTTCATAGTTCATGGACATTCAATATGCTAACATGACACTGCGTTTATAAAGTGAGAGATGATAAAAGTTTCATGTGCGTTGTTCCTAACACATGAGAATATTGAAAACCAGGATATGAAACTCCCACCAAGACCAGCCTTATAACTTAGCAGCACGTAAGTGATAAATGGTGTATCAGAGGTGGACATACACCATAGCCATAACTTAGCCTACAGGGGCGTCCCGACAAAATGGGAGGGCCCTATACGAAACAATAAGTAGTGGCCTAATCTTTAGTGTCAGAACATGAAAATAATGACATATATCAATGTATTACTTATATTATTACAAAGTAAAGTAGTGTAGAATAATGATTGTATGTTTTCAATTTCCCTATTCATATTTTCTAATCCAATTTGGAGAAGACATGGCTTGCAAGTTGGAATAATTAAACACTGGTTAATGCGCAAAAGATTAACTAAATAAAACAGGTCTTGGTCATGGAGTTCAACGGGCGATCGCGTCGACGATGTCCTGCATGGTAAATTGAGGACTGCTCTGGAGTCTTGACGAGTCGTGACCTTCGTCTCTTTGTGTCCGGTCTAGGATTAGGACTGGAGCCCACATGTATATATAGCAGGTATATGTGTAAAATATTAATACAAACTAGTAGTTCAACCAAAACAACGAGTATGGATAAAATTGGTTGTTAACCAATGGATACGTATAAGATTGGGGAGGATGAAAAATAAATAACGATGAAGTAGATTTGGACATGAACAAGCATGGATCTGTCCATACCCTCTCCAATGACAGGGATGAGTGTCACGCATCCGTTCCATGACAAGGACACGCCATCCTCTAGAAATAGGAGAATAATATATATGGTGACTTGTATATTTATCTGCTTTCCAAATATAAAAAGATAATAATTCTAATTTTCCCTATTTATATCTCCTATAAATATAGTAGCAGGAGAATATTATACGGTAAAACCCCTCAAGATCGACGGTTCACAGAAAAAAAAATCAATGTATTACGATCAGCATGTTCGCTTATTGGTTTCGGCCAGGATTTATCAGCCATGATACAGTGTTTTTCTCTCACAACAAACCAGCACCAGTCAGGCTTATCAGCCCATAAACCAACCAACGAACAGGCTGAATATGGCCTCGACTGCTACTTAACACTGATTCTGACAACACACCGCGGTCCTCCTCGCGCACCGACACCCTCACCGCTAGATCCACCCCTTCGCCGTCCCCAAA